GACTTTGTTTATTTTTTATAGACACTCATTTCCTTTTCCTAATGGCCTGTTTTGAGCCCTTTTTAATTTACACACAACAAAGAAGACTGTTTATGACACAGTCCATGAGTGTTAGTTCACGTACAGTATGACTGAACGTGTGCATGTCCTACTTACTGATGCATGCGTGCCCGGCTGAAGGGAGCTGTGTAGCAGTCCGATTCCTCTAGGTCAGGCAAGGCCTGTTTGTCTAGCTTCATGGGATTTCTGGGAAGCCAGCTTTTTATTTGACGACATCTCAGATGAAGTTTGCTGCAGACGCACAGAGACAGGATTATCAGCACAGATTAGAATGGGGCTTTGATGTGGATGCTCTCTCCTTAAGATGACCCTCAGCATCAGCTCATCCTCACTGAAGTCTGATGGTACACCCATATGCATGGTTGAACCTGACTCTTAGGCATTGGAAGAATTATACATTCAGGATGTTTATTCATGGGTCTGATCCATCTCAGTGGATGAATCTCAGTCCTCATGTTGCTTTATTATGAGGAACAGGCTGAGGTACAGCACCGGCAACACAACGGGTGTGAATATGTAGTTAATATCACTGTATATGAGAAGATCTGACAGGAATGAAAAATGGGCTGGAAATAACTGCATATGAAGTTACAAAATAAGTCAGACGAAATGCGATGACAGCTGGTGCACATATAAACCATAAGAATCAAAGTGTCATGTATCATCGCCGATATGGCAAGAAGCAAGGCAGGACCCAAATGCAGTACTCAGGAGACTCTTCAGAGGCAGGACGCTTATTTATAGAAAGCCAAAAACAATAAATCCTCACTTCATCACAAGACCAGGAACAAGGTATAAACCAGACCAGGCATGAACTACACAGTGTAAACTATAAACTCATGGACAGGACATGAACTACAAAGTGTAAACTATAAACTCATGGACAGGAAACACACACAGAACCACGAACTGACCAGTACAATGGTCCCTCTGAGGGAGAGTGGCATAGATACACAGGGCACCAGGTGACAGACAGGACTAATCACAGAGACACAGGTGACGACACTGATTAGCAGGAACAGGAAACGGACACAACTGACACAAAGTTTATATAAATTCCTGCACCAAATGTTGTACTGACATGGACTTGGTATTTTCTCACTGTTGAAAAGGTCCTGGACTAATTCACGAGGCTGCTGCTGCTTCAATACAGACTGAATGAATATAAATGTGAAGTCTGGGGGAAAACATATTTTTATGAATGTGTGAGTGATGGGGACAGGAACTGTACAGAAGGTAATGATATCAAAGCAGCTTACTGTCTCCACCTGCACACAATCCATTTGTTCAGCTTTACAGTGACGTTACTTTGCAGCAGAGCATTATTTAATAGATGAGGTTTATTTACCGCTCTGGTGGATTTCTCTGTTCAAAGCAGCACATAAAAAGTCAGTAACACTGAGGAAAAATAATTCGTCTTTGTTTTTCTAACTTAACATTATTTCTGGTGTGGTAATCCATAATGTATGGAAGATATATACATGCAAGGCATTTTTGTTGCCAAAATATTCATGTCATTTCATTTGGTTCTTAATCATATTTGTGAAACACATTCTCCTTTACTTTCTATTGTGAATATAAACTCAGTGTAACGTTGACTGTATCTTATATAAATTACTATATTTCCACCTGTTATATGGGGTTTTAGGTCGAATTCTAAGACTGTGGAGTCCATTGAGACATATGTTTTGTTTTGTTTTTGTAAATTGGAGCTATAAAAATAAAATTGACCTTCACTTAAAGTATTACTAGACTTTACAACGATATATTAACATATAAATGCAAACTTTGCTCTCTTGGAGCTGCTGGAGTCACACTGCATATGGAGATCAATGGGGAAACCAGTTCTTTACACAGTCATGAGCAGAAAAACAAGAACAAGGGCTCTAATATGGACTCATTTGTCCGAAACTCAGTGTTGTGTGTGTGTGAGTGTTGCAGAAAAACTTTATGGGCAGATTTTGCAACCAAACTGCTAAAATATCTTTTGGAATGTGAAGCATTGCTAAAGCAACAAATCCAACCAAGGTCTGCTCTTCACAGCCTTTTTCACAGTCCTCCAAATAAAACCAACAGGTCTTAATTTAAACCCTGTTTATCTCTGCTGTCTGGTGAGATGAAGAGATGGGAATTGTGGAGTGCAGGGCTTGGACAGCATGTCATAGCTCATGTGTGTGCACCTATTTCTATAAATAACATGCAAATTAAGCCCACACTGCTCCAGACTGATAAATTAGATGCATTCAGCTGAAAGACTCTCCCAGAGCTGGATGTTGTGGTTTGTGGGTTGAAAAGTTTAATCATATTTTGGTAATTGGCAGAAGTCAGTGTTTCACCAAGTCTGACGTTGGTCAATTAGTTGAACGTGTTTATAATATGCTCAGGTTTGAATTTCCATTTTTATAAATCTGACCTCTGACCTTATCAGTGATAAATAAAAACACTGTCAGTGTGGCACAGTGTCATTGTTAATGTTAGAAATGTTAATGAAAATATACAGTATTAGTCTTTCTATTCACAGCTTCAGCAGTCAGCTCATTAGTGTTGTGACTTAGTTGTTGTGAACATCAGAAACACTCAAGCACTAGTTTAATTTCTTCAGACAAAAATAGAGAAAATATCTGACCTCAATTCCATTTACCTGCCAAGGGTTTTACTCTTCCAGTCTGTGAAGTAACACTTTTTCCTTGAAAAGAAGAAAAGAGGCAACAATAAAGAACAAAAAAACAAACAAACAATATCCATCTTCCAGGTTTAAATGTTTCATCCTTTTCTCTGGCAGCAGTTACCTGAAAGGCATGCGTATGTTCATCTGCTCTGCATATTTGCAGAGCGTATCCCACGGGGCATTAATTTTCACAAACATGATGTCACTGTTAGTCAGAGATGGCTTTGGGTGAAAAGAAAACACACAGAAGAAGAAAAAACTCGTTAAGATATCAGAATCAGATTTAATGAGTGATGTATGAAAGAATGTAGAAGGAATTTAATAGTGTTTTTTTTTCTTTATCACAACAACAAAAAGAAACAGTAAATAGACAGTTGACAGTGTCAAACAAAGAGGTAAACTTTTATGTGTTTAAAACAGGATTAATATTAATTGAAATAAGTTAAAATTGTTGATATTTACTGCAAGTTTGGTCATTTTATATTTTTTATATATATTTTTGTATTCACCAGCCTGACAGTCATTAAATATTGAATAGTTATCTATTTTACAATTCTAACCTCACAAAGTTTCTCACCACCAAGGTTGGTAGAACTTTTAGTAAGTTTTAGAAGAAAGTAAAAAGTAAAAGTCTAAACTGCTCACTGTTTGATAAACATAAACATATTTAGGGCATTGATTAATCCAGCATTTCTTCATAAAGTTAAGAGAAGGTTGAAGTAAGTCTGAAAAGGTTAAACAGGCCATTCTGGTGAGTTCTTCCTTCAGACTGGTACTGTTGGAGGAACCCAAGGGTTTGGCCACCATTAACTGGGCATCCACCAAGGCACTTTGAGGAGACACTTGTCTGTTGATGTAAAATCAATCTCCACTCTATGAAAGCAAATAATAAAGTGTGTGTGTGCTAAAGTGTCATGTCAGCAGTTTAATTCTTTTTACTACTGGAAATGTGTAGGACATTATAACGAGGAGACTCAGACAATGATGACCACAGACTGTTGTGCAGCTCATGTAGTTTATGCAACAAGAGCAGAAATAAAATCTACTACAAAACTTTTAAAATCCTGAGGCAGTAAAAACTGTCATTTAAAAAGTAGGATGTTATAATGACTTGTACCTCTTTCTCCAGCATCAGACCTTCTGCACGTAAATTCTTCTCAAATGTACATCTTTTCTCCACCTGAGGACTGGACTTCTTGTAAACCAGGATGTAGTCGATTCGTTTCTTCCCGTCTCGGAAGAATAGCCCGGAGGTATCAGTGGGGTTCTTTACCTGTAACAGCAAGAGTTCTGAATGATAGATGTAGTACAAGCAGTACAGCACTGTGACTTTACATGCTGTGGAGTTTGGTACCTTGAGGGAGTAAGTGCGGGCCTCTAGGTGTGAACGGGTGACGGGCTTCTGTAGCGGGGACGACTCGTCAGCTCTGGTTTCACACGTAGTCACCTCCGACTCCTCCGTGTAGTGATCCTTGACATCGTCGGCTGCACAGAACAGAACAGTCAGTCGGATGGAAAATTGAATCACACTGCAAAGTCTGTCAATATAAAGAAGTTTGTTGTTGCAGAAGTCAATATCTCCCTTAATCCAAATGCCAACAATATAGAACAAAATGAACACTTTTGTCTTAAAGCTTGCATGGAAAAAACAAAAAAATAATTCTCAACTCGAGTTTCCTACTGATGCCGTTCTTCACTACAACTTGGGTCCATGTCAAAGTCTATATAAGACAAGGATAAGGCTGCTTAGTACATGTAAAAGTCCTTGTTTATTAGCAACATTATTTCCCTTAAAAAATATCAATATTGTTATACAGCTGTTGCTGTATTTCAGGAAACATTTGGTGAAAAATCCCAGTTGTGCTGCTGTTTGGAACCCAGCCCAGAGTTGACTGGACTAACCTACTGTATTTTGGCAGATGGGTGTTTTATTACTCAACCTAAAGTGTTGATAAATGACTCTGTAAGTGCTAGGCCACATAAACTGGCTTCTTCTGAGATACTGTGAAAGAACACTGTGTATTTTGTCACTCTATGTGTATTTATTTACAGTATTTATTCAGTATGTCACTGGATAAATACTGTAAATAAATACACAGTGACATTCACATACATTTCAGTCAATGTTTAAATCTGTAATCTCTTGCGCAGGCTCCTATATCTCCAAGATATGAATAGACTATGAAAGGATAACGTTATTCTGATGATTTGATGATTAAACCAGTATCTTCCCAGTGTCCAATGATGAAGTATTACTAGATATATATGTACAAATACTAATACCTTATATTCTATTGTGTTCAATAAGTTACTGTGTTCTGTATCAAAAAAAGAAAAAATTAGTGTTCTATTAATGAAAAAACATGAGAGACATACTTCGTTTAGTTCATTCTTACAGATGTGGAGCTGGTGAGGGGTCAGTTCTGTGTCTGTCAACTCTGCTTTTGATATTGCCCACCCCCGTCTACCCTCTCTCGTTTCTGTTCTTTTCCTAGGAACAGACAGTCCTGCTGCTGAGGCTTCTTTCATAGAAGAACCACTCCTCACTGTAGTAGAAACATCTCATTCTGACTGCTCCAACATGAAGCTAACATCTCTCCTCAACATCCAACAACAACCAAACCCTAAAGTGAATCCCAAAAACGTCTGAAAACATTTGCGTCTTAAAAACAATATATTGTATATATGTATGGTAGTAAGAACTATTCCAAGGTGCTCCATGCAAACAACAGTCACAATTAATAGCTTTGTTGCTACCTTAAAGATATTTTTTTCTATAACCAACTCATACAGTAATGACCTGTTTCTGTCCACATTTCTCTCTACACTTCCTCACTCCCTTTGATGAGGCACCAGACAGCTGACTGTTTCTTGATGTGTTTTTTTTTCTCCTGCAGCTTCAACACAAAGTAGACACAGAAATAAACACGATCATACTGATAGGAAAAACAAACAAACAAATAAATGGTTATATTTTATACTGATGCAACTGCTTTAAAACAGTACCTTCTGTGCAAGAGAAGGATGGAGTAAAACAACCCCAGTGGACAAAGTAGTGTTCCATTTTTGTATTAGCAACTAGCATGTTTGCCACCTTCCAACAATCAGTTGAAGACATACATGGGCATCTCTAATAAGGCTTTAATATGAGGGAACAAAATGAAAGAAAACCATTGTCTAAACACTTAAGAAGTAAATCCACATATTAATACCCAATAAGATAGCTGTTCATTCTGTGTGGAATTAAACCCTAGAAACAGCTGTGACGCTATCTTTCCATGACTGAATTAACACCAGTTTTGGAAAGACGTCTGTAGCTTCCTCTCAGGGGACTGACCTGTCTGTGGGGAGAGCAGGCTGCAGGAGGTGCTGATGGCCTGACTCAAACCTTCCACTTCTGTTTTAGACTCCGGGCTCAGAGGCACTGACAGGAAGTGGTTGAGGTTGATTGGATGAGTCTGACTCTGGGCAAGGCATGGAAGGCTGCGGCGAGACGGCTTCAGGCTCTTCTCCTTCAGGATCTCGCTGATGCTGGTGTGCATACCTGAGGGGGGACAGAGGGGGTGAGAGGGGGGGGTGAATATGATTATCACCAACCTTATAGAACAGAAGATAGAACTATAGAATAGTTTTATTTCGACACTTGCAGTAGAGTGTTCCCTTTAATGAATGATTAATGAACCAGGTGCCACAAACATTCTTGTGGAAGAATTATTTTTCACCTAACAGTAAACACATCTGCAGGGTTGTGTTGGTGCAGTAAGAGTCATTTCATTAATTAACAATTAAGACTGTATTTCATTTATTTAAACATGGTTGACCATAGGTATGAATGTGAGTGAGGATGGTTGTTTCTATAAGTGGCCCGGCCATCCACTGGCAAACTGCCCAGGGTGAAACCTGCCCTCACCCGTTGGCTCGACCTGCGCCCATAGGAATAAGTTCCGTACGTCTCATAACAAAAATATTCGAGGCCCAATGTCACAATTCTGTGAAGAAAAACATTTCAAGCGTGCGGGAGTGAGTGGATAAACTGAAGGAGGTTAGGGTTAGTACTTCAGCCTTCAGTCGGTCCATCCTCTTCTGGACTTCAATATTGAAGATAATGTCCGTCCTTCATGAAGAAGAGCATCAAATACCATCAGGACCACTCCATTAAATTACACAGCTAAGTGCATCAAGACAAGCAGCATGACGGTTAAACCACACAAGCTTATTACACACACACTATACACGTTGGCTATTTATAGTGTCTGACTTAGTAACAAGTTGCTGCTTTATTGATAACAATCTATGAACTAGCTTCAAGGACGACTCCAGTGCTGCTGTTGACAATCACAGAGTGAAGTCAGTTAGGAGCTTATGACCTTTATTGTTCAATGTTACTGTTTTCTTCAGCTGTACTCATCTCCAGTATATCCTTTACTTCTGCTGTTTCTGTTGCTAAAAACACACATCTAAAACAGCATCTCCAAAGACCTGTACTGCACCACTGCTAGAAACGGTACTCATGTAAAGTGCAATACCTAGTACTCTGTATACCATGTGGTTTTATATTTATGTTTTATTGTGTTACTGCTTATACTCTTATGGAACCTTCCCTGTTAATTAAAAAGTAATGGGTGGGAAAAAAGGTCCAATTGGTTCCATTTGTAAGTTTCAGAAAGCAAGTTTCCCTTTAACAACTTACTGCATCTTTTAAAATGTCAGTTTGGAGGATGCAGATCTGTAAAGTGCTGACACAACAGCTTACTATTACTTTTTTTATAATTAAAAGAGGTTTAAAATCCTGGTTCAGTGGGAAGAACTTGAACTGAATGTAGAAAAGAAAGGCGAGATGAACGGTGCACACAGAGGAATGTAGCGGTTACCTTCAAAGTCATTTTAGCTATAAAGAAACTGAGTGGTGGCTGACAGGAAGGATAGATAACACTTACAGGAGAACAATATTGATATGATGAACTGTAAAGAGAAGATCAAAGGTTAACATCGAAAGTGTGGGCGTCCACCATCGAGGGAGCTCCTTCAACCTGACCTTCACAGCAGGCAGCAAATATATTCATCTCTCTCTTTCTCTCTATCTCTCTCTCTGATGAGAAGTGGATGTGGTTTTACCTTGAGTGAGGAGTCACCCACTGACCTTCCTGAAAATGTTGAAACACAATGATATTTCCTTCATGCTGCAAGCTGTGCAATAACTCATTCCCATGGCATTACTCTCAGTGGGATTTTCCATCTCTGCTTTTGAAAAGGAGAGACCAAGTTAAAGAAGCTGTGACCAGCAGCAGCGGTGATCGTGCAGCCGCAGCTTATGGAATTTAAAATGAATACGTGTGAATAGTTCCATTTACACAGTTCAATGATAAATAACTGGAAAACCATACTGTGGTTCCATAGTGTAGCGGTTAGCACGCCTGCCTCAGAAGCAGAGAGCAGAGAGTCCTGGGTTTAATTCCCTGAGAAACCACAGGTTTAATAATGTGGATAAAAGTGTCTGCTGAATGCATAAATGTAAAATAATTGTTTGCTTTTAATTTACACAAGGAAGATGATAGCTTCAGCTGATCCACTTGTACCTACAGCAACTGCAGATGAATAAGCCTTTCTCCAAGAATGTAGAGTAATTACATTAAAGCCACGCATCACCTCCCTGTGCCTTATTTATTCCTACATGCATCACTATAGCCTTTCAATTTATCCAGAACTTAATGATCTAAAATAACACATTTGCATTTCATGGACACACAAGGTCTCATGGTCCAGTGAGGCGGAGAGTCTGTTACATTCAGCTGCAAACACAACGCCAGCTTTATAAAAGGACTGGATATGAATGTGTGCTCTATGAAGAAAGTAGGCTACACTTCACTGTTTCTACACATTATTCCAGCTCATCCTTACCTTGTAAATGTTAACTGCAACAACACCACATTTATCATCCAAAGGCATCAGTGATTAGGGACTTCTCAGCAGAGAGCAGCAAGACTCAGCGTGCCACGGATGATGCAGCCATGTGAGCTAATAGGCCTGCAGGGCGGAGCCTTCATGTTCCCAAAAGACGTTCAAAGTTTAAAATGGTCTAATGTGAAATTCATATAGTGAGATTTTCATATAAGATATCGTTGGTAAGAAAAATAAAAATAAAATTCTTGGAGTTCATGAGAAAAAAAAACAGGAGTGTTTACGGTATCTTTCTTTACGATCTCTAGCCTGCATTGAAAGCTACCATCTGATTTGAGCTCCGCCCCACAGTCACCACAGTTGATTGTGTTGGTCTATAAAATATATAAATATGTAAAAGGTTCATCGAAAGTGGAATCTGTATTTAATCTCACTGAGCATTGGCTACAACTGGATTATCAAGACTAAGTTAATCCTGTGTGGGCCTGGACTGTGTGCAGTTTGGAGACTGCACATGGAGCAGGAGGGTGGCGATGGGAGAAGATGGACGGATAATAAAAAGGCATAAAAAAGACATAAAGAGTTCCAGGGCCCTGGAAGGTTCACTGCAAGGTCGAATGGGTGAAAACACGTCCGTGATGTAACAGTGACGACAGTCTGACAGCTGCAGGTAACACTCTCTGTCATAATCCACCATTCTTTCCAATAAAAATTAGGCAAAAAATAGTTTCTAAAAACTCAAAAGAATATATATCACAGTATACCAAATATATATATTCATTTAGCTGATTTAGCTTTATAATGCAGGAAGCTCCTAAGAAACAACTCCACAATGATGATGGAATGACTCTTCTCAGGCTTTCCATCGATCACATTGAGCGATCGATGTGTTATGATTCCCCTGCAGAGATGCCTTCCTCTGCTGGGTTGTTTTTCTTCTCACTTTCCCTTTTCGAGCCACTGATCAGAGTGCTTCTGGATAAATTTGGTTTATAAATTAGAAAGTTGGCTCAATAGGTGTCAGAAACAAATTTCACAGGACACAGTAAAACATGAAACACAAAAAAGAAAAAGCAAGAGCGGTACATTAGCAGGACTGGATACTGTAGTAAGAGTCAATCTCTTTCATAACCGTCAGCAGTACTGAGATATATATATAGTATATCTGTGTGAAGTTTTCTAAATCATGTTTGAAAAGCAAGAAGAAGGTTAATCCTTAGTCGTGACATTGTTGTGAGGTGAAAGACTGAATATAATAATGAGCCACTGTATAATCCCCCTCCCACAGGGTCTCCAGATTAGAATATTTCCCGTAGCCTTCTGCATTTTCACAAGTAAGGTCTTTTTGCATGTCTTTGTATTTAGGTTGGAATACTACATATTTCATGGTCAAAAGAAAAGCTCCACATACAGCATGTAATGGATGTGTGATGTGTGGCTTCCTTTTATATGTTGTCTTAAGAAAGCTCAACATTTCCCTGGCAGTCACAGTCACCACTTTATCTTCACAGTCTGAGCCAAGTGGGAACCTGATATAACAAATGTCCAGTATTTTACAGTCAGTCTGGCAAGAACTGCTGAAAGAAAACACGGTGGTGAGACAGAGAAAGACCGGCCCAGGATTTGTAGAGACAGGGAGAACTGCTGTGTTTTCTATCAGCAACAACTGATCACTGCAGAGGGACCTGAGCGGAAACTGAAGTGTATATTATTAGACTACCTGCAAGGGGGCTGCACAGACAGCCAGAGATTTCAGGTCAGTGGGCTGTTTTCCTATCACGCCTCTACAGTATGTCTCCTCCTTCTATACATTTAATTATTTATCTATCTTCTGCCGAAAGCACATTCGACATGGCAGCTTTGAACCGTGTAAAAGATTCGATGCCGAGGTCTACTTCAGTGCAACACAACAGCCGAACATACAGTGCACGTCAGGGGGATCCCTGTTACACAACAGTTTCAAGAATGCTAGCGATATGTTTTTCTCTAAATTATATTCTGGTGGCAGCAGCGAGGTGAGACCTCCAGTAAAAGTGTTGTTGTTACATTCTTTACCAGGTGACATACCAGAGGTTAAAGGGAGGCCTGATACGGCTGCTGAAGCTCCTGCTCATATATACTTACATTTTAAGGTTTCTGAAATATATGTAAAATAGGTAGTGATAAAATATCATTATGTAAATGTGACAGGTCAAATAAAAGAAAAAGAAACCATTCAGCACATTATTCAATACTTTCTATGAAGTCAGTCAGTGCTGCTTAAAGTAACTCAGAGACAGAGTCTTGGTTTTCACATTTCTGATTCCGTTACCTGTCTGTCTGTCTGTCTGTCTGTCTGCAGCAGCAGAATATGTTCATATTTTTTCACTTACTTTCCCTTGTCTTTATTGTGCCCAAGGTTTTTTGTGAATCTACAACAATCCACGCTCCCATCATAATATATTAACATTGATTTAACATTGACACGTTGATTTTGGAATATCTTCTATTACATCAAATATTCAATTTACTATTTAATTTTGGTGAGTTTATAATTTCTTCACATAAATACAACTTTGATTTGTTGTGAATTTTTGATGTGAATTAACTATTTTTTTATATATTTATGTTGGTCTTCTAGGAGTTTCTTAATTGAATCTGCATGTTGTGTTGCACTTATTTTTGCAAGTAAGAAAAGTACAATTATTTACTAAAGCCTCACTTAAACAAAAGTCTGAATTGTTTTGCCCCAGAATGGAGCCTGTGTAGTTGGCAGTGATGAAGAAGGTCACAGTGTCATTGCCAACAACGTACAAACTACCAAATACCTCTGTTGTTCTACTGATACTGCCTGTCAGAGAAATATTAAACAAAACTATGTCAAATACATCCAGACGTCAATGCATTTTACAACACATGACTTTTGAATTTTCCACTCACACTGTTTGTTGTTGTCTGTCCATCATGTGCTGCTGGGCTCGTCAGCCTGACTGTGAAAACACCTCAGAACAGATGGCACTTTTTTATCACCGTACGGCCGCCTGTCGTCTGTGCCCTGTCTCTGGATTTCATCATTTAAGCAGATTAAAGATTCCCCGTATCTCAATCTCTGTATTTCACAATTCTTCTAATGCCTCACTATCTTCTTATAGCCATGAATGCTTGATGATGGTTAAGCCATATTACAGTCCCCAAAGTCAAAGCTGTGACCATGGGAACGGCACACAACCTACTGTATTATGCCCTTAAAACAATGTGATGTGAACTTTTCTGTCTGCAGAAATGTTACTGCAGCGAGGCAACAAAACACACACAAACTATTAAAAGATTGGGAAATGTTGAAGCTGCTAACTGCCAACACACACACACACAAACACACATACACACTCACTGAGAGAAAACAGCCTGTTTGTGGTGTTTTTGTTTTTTTGTTTTTTTTTTTTTGTTTCTCTATTTGGCTGTGGCGTTGTGATAAATCTTACATAAAAACATGTTTGCCTCATAGAACAGCAGTCTGTTGGAACCACAGATGATGCACACTCTCCAGCCTGTCCTGAATCTACTGTCTGTACTTATACCATGCTACAAAGAAAACAGTAGCAAATGCAGGTACGACCGACCCCTGCAGTCACCTGACCAGTCTGCAGCTGCATCACAGCGTGATACCTTCAAAGAATCTCTATGTGCAAAAATCTATGACAGTATTTTCAACCTCAGTCCTACACTTTCTTGAACTCAGGTTTGTAGACTCTTTCAAACATCCACAGCTCATCAAAGGATGAGTGTTCGACTCTGCTGTGTAATTTACACATCGCTTGGCCGGCGATTCACTTTAGTTAATTAGCTGTTAAGATCCAGTGTGATGATGAACCAATAGCTTCATTTGCAAGAAATAGCAATTGACATCAAACTAAAACCTGAACACACAAACAAAAGCACATTTAACAAAATCAAAATCAAGTTAGAGGGTCACTTGACCCTCTAATTCAGAGGGTCAAGTGATCCTTAATCTCCTCCTCAACATCGAATAATCAAAGGACACAATCTCAAAGACGTCCTTCAATTCTGATTATCTGCGTGAAAGCAAGAAACTATTTTCATTCAATGAAAAAAGAACACGAAGAAACCCTTTCTTCTTGTCCTTCCATCAGAGGTGCCCACAGGGGGAGTCGGCACACTGAGGGGCAGGAGGAGGGAATCCAACCACTGCACCACTCCAACCCCCACAGAAAAACATAGTGCACAGTGTAAATGTATAATTACTGCCCCGGAACATTTAAGCACTTGACACCAGTACCAAGGCATTAGTATGCCTAAGTGTAACAACTGAAACAGTACCACGGCATTTGCTTATAAACTTAATCAAATTTACTCAAATACAGAGACCAATTAACTTTGCTTCACTGCAGTTTGATCAGTGATCTGTGCTCAGTCAATGCCCATTAAAAGCAGTGATGCCAGATGGACTCCAACCTGAGCCAGAGTCTGATGTCTCATATATCTTTTCCACCACTGTCCCAGGTGGAGAGATGTTATCTCCTCCATCTATTTTTTCCGTTTTTTCTTCTTCAATGATATCCTATCATTGGCTGTAGTTGGAACTATAGAGCCAATACCAGCTGTCAAAATGGAGAAGCACAGAGGACACCTCTCAGAGGATGACAATCTGGGTCGGAAAGACACACAACTGTTTACAGACGCAAGTGAACAGGTGGACGGACAAATACATCGATTAGATTAGATGACGGATGGACAGACGGATTATATAGATAGATAGATGGATAGATATTATTAGACCAGCTGACCTGGAACCAACAACCATGCCATGTGCAAAGCTTCTGTGTGACTAATTTGATATTGATGTTAAAGAGCAGCAGTACAGGTGTACCTAATGGTAGTGGCCGGTGAGTGGACAGTATATCTTTAGACTGATCTTGCAGCCACCATTCATTCATGCTTGTGGATGAATATTAATTGATTGCACAGAAACGTGACCAACTCTCTATAGTCATATGTACTGATGTAAGTAAGTGCTGTTTTCATTTGCAGCAACACAACTGCCCCCCCACCCCACCCCAGACTTCGGTGTGGCAATCATAGATGGATGTTACAATATTTGGAATATGCTTTAATATGGATTTTATGACAATAAATAAATGAATAATAAAATAGTGGACAACAGCGTAGAGCACAAACGACACGACACGACTATGAAAAACCTCCAACTCTGCGTCACTCTCTGAGCAAGTGCAGAGAGTTCGATTCCTCTGAGAGTCATTTCACGCCACAAACTGTTTCAACTACAGTCAAAAGTCACTGCGCATCAAACACATGGCTTTAAAAAGAACCGCCCGTGGACGTGGACGCCTCACATCACGAGAGACCAACCTTTCTGCTGCTTGAAGGACTGGATGGAGCCCGAGTGGTGCACCATTGCGACGGTTGCTCGGTTTCCAGCTGCGCCTAAATCCCGTGTTTGCACAAACACAAATGCGACACACACACGTGAAAGTGTGTCGGAGCAGTGTTGCTGTTCTCTCAGCCTCCTCTCTGCCACAACATGTCACGGCCGACGTGCATTCCACAGCAACACCTGTCTCTGCTCTGAGTGTCGCCCCCTGCGCCTGCCTCCATCCTCACGTCCGCGGTCGTTGTCATGGTGATGGACAGTAGGGGCGGTCCTGACATGGGCACGCCCCCTAGCGTCCTGATTTACTGGCTCCAAATAAGCCATTACCAGAGACAGCAGATCTCAATGGACCGACAAGGACATGGAGGATATTGATTTGTTCATCAATCGTTTTAAATGAGGACACCCTTAATAATAGTTTCATTGAAGGGAAAGTTTGATGGGATTTCATTGAACAATAATAATATTAAGACAATAAACAAGTTTTATAGGAGATTTTACAAGATCACTCTGTAAACAAGTCCACATGTAAATAATAAATACATATATAACAATAAATAATTAAATGATAAACTCAATGCAAAATAACTTCATTGTATGTGTTCCCATGGTAATCTGTATTTGCATCTCCATTGCAAAAAACAAAAGATCAAAGAAGACTACAGTGCAGTGAGGTCACATCTTCACTTAAATTTTTGAAATAATAAAATATAAAATGTTGATGTTTTTATGCAGAGAACTGTGTTCTTTTGTAGGTAGAAAATCTCCACACAATCAATACTGTAACTTCCTACTACAGAGCCCACAGGTCAGCTGAACAGACAAACTGCTGATGCAGCAGCAGGGATTCCCCCGTTTGAGCAAATATTAAATGTCGTAAAAAAATGAACATAGTGATAGGTTAAATGACTGCAGTAAACTCAATGAGTTTGAACTAGTATTAAGTACAGGGGTATATTTCTTCTGCTGGAATTTATCCTGACTTGGCAACGGCCAGGATAATACTTTAGACATGAGACAACAAAAAACAACAACTCTTACAATTATTTGTGACTAGTGACTCTGGATCACTTTAGCCGAGGCGTTTAACAGAAAACCACTGCCAGAGAAACCACTGGTTCTAGCTGCAAGGTCAGTGGTCCTACCTCAATGTCAGCCACATTTAGCTGTGAGCCAGCAGACGTTCAATCAAGATCACAGCACCGCACTTTGGTCTGTGTCCACATTGTCTTTCTGTGAGCTGACATTCAGTCAGGTAGGGTCTGACACTGACCACTGATACACCTTCATCCTCCTCATCATCATCATCATCATCACTGGTCCCTCAGGCTGCAGACAGCCTCCCACCGTCATTCTCTTCACATATTACCCGATCACAGTGGCAGGTCTTTGTTCATTAATGTTCATAAAATGTCAGTGACCAAGTAGGTCAATTCACATGATAAAACCGTCTTATTAATAACTCCGTCACCACAGGTTTACTCAATCACTGCTACTGCCGGTTTATCTTCTTCCATTTCTGTTAGTTTAGACATCTAGGTCAGATGACTGCGATGCAGATGGAGAGAGGTTTAAGGTAAGCTAACTACTGCCACCGGGTGGTTAAATGCTGCACTGCAGACTGTATAAATAAAAAAGTTTTGCATTATTTACGTAAGGGTATGCATGTATATGTACTACCGTGGAGTACTTGAGAGCAGGATATTATACTGATTAATAGGTCTGCAGTTATAAGTGACCATCTACCACGTCACATTTGTCTTGCCGGTTAAACAGAACAAGGATAAATCAAAAAGTTCTAAGCTATGTTATGGTTTTAAAAAGTGCTTTACTATAATACTTTTAACATGTTAAGACCTATCTCTCACTCTTCCTCAACAGCTAAGTGTTATCACTGTGCCTTTGTCAAGTGCTGAGTTGTTTCAACTGATTAGGTTTTTCAAACCCGAGCCAGAGCAAACAATCAATTTTCAAACAAACATGAACTCAAACCTAGTCAAAGTAACAAAGCTTTTCCAGCGTCTTTTAACCTTGGAAATATCTATCTGATCCTTTTCCCAAAATGAAGAAAAACCTTTTTTATATTACAGTAAAACAAAGCTCTGGGTTCCCTATTTTCAAAATCTCTGTGTTTGATTTACATGATGGAAAATTGTGAATGACAATGACATACAGTATAACATGGAGGCATTCAACAGAAATTACTGCTGATGGCTTGCACTCATGCTTGGCAGCACAGGGTTTCTGCTGATGATGCTGTTCTAAAAGTTCAAAGTGAACCTTGGATGTTTTCATTTCCCCCATCAGAGTGTGGTCATCCCAGCAAGTCATTAGAGTGATGTAAAGTCAATCTGATATACCGCAGCCACAGCACAGAGATTTCAGTGGAAGGACAGAATCAGGAGCGGGCATAATATTTAGACTGAAAAACAGGTGTCAATAAAAAGAAAAAAATTTCAAAACTGACCAGAATGCTGGTTGCTGTCTATTGTTGCGGTTCCAGAATCTAAACTGTGGTCCAGTGATGAGCTCCAGGAAGCTGACTGGGTGATGGTTGGGTTAATGTGCCTGTCACCTCCTGAAGAGCTGGAAGCCTGGCTCTCCAGTAGGGGTGTAAACATATAGCTTTCCTGATGACATGATCCTGCAGAGAACAGAGACACAGACACACATCAACATACAGCAGCAGGGATGGTGTTTCCTACATGGTTGTTATCATTGCTTTAATCCAATATGGGTTAGGGCCACACATCAAAACTAATGAGCTTTAACATCAGAAAAGAGAATTGGAAAAGATGATGTGTCGACTGTAGATCACCCATTTTTGTGCATGCGATCACAGCACTCTCCTCCGATCCTTCTCATGTTTCCACACTCATACATTTTTAACATGTCTTTATAATCCCTTTTACCCTCTGCTATTTGACACTAATAGGTAACAATGAGGCCTGTGGCTCTTCATCAGCAGGGTGCCACAGGGTTATGTGACCAGTGAAACAGGATCAAACATCTATTAAAGTTTAGTAAGACACTCACTGAGGCAGTCATTAGAGCTGTGGAAAATAGTTTCCATGGAGTATTTGTTGTATTCAAGCTTGTGGTCTTTTTAATTTAAATAAATGACATGGACTACCACCACAACCTTTCTTAAAGTACGAAACAAGAATGAAGGTGCAAATGTATTCTGGTAGAGTTTTTTTCAGTATATCCTTGAGACACAACTGCAACCATTCAGGTTATGGAGGAGTCACATCAGTGTTTTATGTGTCTTTCCCAGTGATTCTTTAGCACATACTATATCTAGAATTGAATCCTTAACCTTTGTGATGTTGTGCAGCGTTTTTTTTTTCTGGGGACCCATATTTTAAAAGTCATAAACTATTGCCACCAAAGTCAATAGACATTATTCATAAACTCCTGTGAAACATGATGCAAGACAACCCCCCGAAAAAAAACGAAACTCTTGCGACAGTCTTTGGGAAACAATGATGTAGTGAATGTTTATATTGATAATATAATGAAGGTAATGATACTAAATGTTGAGTTTTAATAGCACAAACCTATCTGCTTATGTCACTTGGAAGGTTAAATATCAGCACGGAGTAAAACTTAACAGTGGTTAATTGTAGATTGTGTTTTCATGAGACAATATGCTGCAGTGACAGCCTTGATTACTGAAGCTGGAGGCCAAGTAAATGCACTATTAAAATCAACTCTGCCTGTAGGTGTTACATTGTCAAACAGAGCTTCTGAGTTTGTTTGTTTTTTTTTTACTCCAGTGCGTGCTGACATCTCCCTCCTTCATGTACAGTCAGCTTCACCAGTGCTGTACCACAGGGAAGAGCCACGAGATGCACTCAGTCCAAACAACTCATGACTCACACACAGGTTCAACAGTTCCATCCACTCTCAGTATCTCTCCTAACAATAACTACACATGTCTGACACACATATATATAGATATCCGTGTCAATGTATAGTGTGTGTGTGTGTGTGTATGTATTTACTACTGTAAATCCAATAACTTCACTTACCTTCCACTTATCATTGCTCTAATACACAGTCAATACACATGTTGTAATTTATACACAGTGTGGGAAAACATTTTTTGTTTCACCTAAGCAACTTAGATGTAAAATAGCATGCTTGATATTTTAGTTTTGATGATTTTTTTTAATAAATATATCTGGAAAACACATACGATTCGTTCATACTTATCTCAGACACCTTAACACGAGGAGGTGAAGGGTGAATGAGAGAGCAGCAATGCAACGAGAGCAGGAGCCATGAAGAATAAATGAAAAGCCGACGACTTTTCATAAAATGTGTTTTTCCTTTTAAGTGCTGTTACACTGTCCCGAAGACTCCAAAAGTATAGAAACATTAGTTAGATCGATTGATGAGCAGGTACTTCCTGTTTCAACTTCCTGGAACATTGATAATTTATTTAAACAAATACATTTCCAAGCTACAGGTCACTAAATCGCGCTCTCAAGAAGCTGCAAATCTATGCTGTTATGTTAGGCAAAGTGTGACTCCATTAACCAGGGGCTATAAGCACCACAGCCAGCCTGTCTGCAAATTACAACCACTGAAGGATTTGGTCATAAATGACACAATAACATATTTGATTTATTAATACGCTACAGAAACTAGAAGGGGAAAGATCGCAAGAAGATCATTTGTTTTCGTTGCACATGTGCAGATCTTCTCCAGCAATTGGAAATTGAATAAAAAGATTTACAACCTATTAGGTAAAGGGTGAGTATAATGAGTGCGGAGGGCATTTATACATTAGCTTCTCCATTATATGGTGATAACTCCAACCGGGTCTGAGGCTGATGACTTTTAAACAGCTTATAACAACAGGAAATAGTCACTTAAGGCTACGTAAATCATCCTGACTAGATCCATGTATTGAAAGTGAGCTGACAAAACATCAGATTAATTTGATAAGTAAGCATAAAAAAGCTAAACATTAATAAGTTTTGAAATAACATAGGGAAAAATGAATTACACAACAATTCTCAATGTGATCTCTGTGTGAAGTGATCACACCTGTTGTCAAATACATTCTGCACATACTGTTATATTTCTAAATATGGCTCAATCTAAAGCAAGTTTAAATACTTAAAAAGAAAATTTAAATGAACAACAGAGAAACCCACAGAGAAAACCAGGGCAGTGTTTGTACTCACTCCGCCCGTAGAGTCACCACTGAACATCATGCACATGGCTCAACACTGACAAAAACAATGTCTCATTAGGCATCCGGACACAATGTTACTGTCGTTTTCATCTTTGCCCGGGGCAGTTATGATTGATAGAAAAGCCTCAGCACTCATGCATTAAATGGCACATTAAATTAGGCTGCACATGTTTACTGACTTTTCCTCAAAAACAGTCACGCTCTTCTCTGCCTTCAGTCTATTTCAGTACTGTCCAAACACGTCAGTCAAGTTAATGCCGGGAAGACACAAACTCCTCTTGTGTAATAATTAGGCTTTTTTTTAGATTTATTGCCCAGCAGTAAGATCTTCAGTTAATTCTCACTTTATGGAAAATGTCATATGGGAAGAACCAATGACTGCACAAACCCATCAACGTGTAATGTACCTTTAATAATTGAGAGTCTCAGCTCACAAATTCTTAGATAATTAACAAATGTTTAGAGCTAACCTAATTCAATCAGATTAATGTGAATATATCTAAATACATAATAATAACATTCAACTTTCATTGTCCTTGATATTGTCATTTGAAGTTTACGTATATCCGTGTGCTCTCACATTCAAATAAGTCAAAGTCAAACCTACCTGAGGAGATGCCATAAGACTCTGACCCTCTGACTTCCATTGCCCACAAGTTTCTGCCTTCAGCATAAATGACCTATAAACGTCTGTCTGACAGCTCACTACTACAGGACAAATGCAGCTCCATCAACCTGTCCTGTTCCCTCAGCACAGTATTTAAGCAGTGAAATAGTCTAGGCTGTGCAGCAAAGACAGATGGGAGGAGTTTAAAGTGTAGCTGAGCTGTGGACTAAGACATTAAAACTTATGGGCTATTGATTAAATGGGACTGGAGTATAAGTCAGTTTACAGAGACAAAAATTTGTTAATGTGCCTGCAATATGGAAGTGATGGCTTAATGGTGCAGCACATGCAGTAAATGATGATAAATTATTTAATTACAGTTTTTCAAGTGCATATTTAGAGTTAAAAGTCTAGAATATTGGACGTTTCCTCGATGGGTCACAGTAGGGAGTTTTAAACGAGGTTTGTCAGAAATCTAAGGTTTCCCTTTCGCTTCATTTGGTTCCTAGTGGGCCTAGACATTTATAGTGTAGTTTGCTTCCATGTATTCTCTCTGGCTCACAAAAAAGTAACCTATGTTCCACTCTTTTCTTTTCCTTCTATCCTAATGTTTACTAAACTGAAACAAAATACATCTAAGTTGTTAGAGAAATCTAATAGTGCACCCTCCTGCACCTGCTGTAAAATAGAATAGGATAAACTATTGTCGGTGTAAATACTTTTGTATAACAAAGTGTAATGTATGCTTCAACATGCACTAAGAAAACTACTGCACAAAAGTACTTAACGCATAGTCAGATTATACGACATCGCTATAATTCAACAATGCTGTTATGTTAAATATCCCATTAAATACAACAATGAACAAATAAAATCTCCTTTTCAAAATGTTGCTGAAGTTAAAGTCAACGGAGACAGACTTTTGGAGACAGCCTCTGATAGCTCAGCTTGTTTTCTGAGATGATGTCAATCACTTATATAAAGTATCTGTTCAATGACTGTCAACTTCCATATATTATTAAGTATTATTGCCAACGGCTCAATGACATAGCACTGCCATATTGGAGTCGTCATAAATACAATGTTTCCTCCTTCATTATAACGTGTCGTTTCTGCCCATAGATGTGTACGTCACATTGTGTTGCGTTTAAAGTCAGCAGACACATACATGCATCTTCATTGCCATCAATATTCAAAGTATTTTTTGCTTGGAACGCGTTTTACTTTTATTAACTAAAACTACCACATGTTGTTTTATTTTCTTTCACAAATAAAAAAAGCTACTTTCTCTGTTACTCTACTGCAATTTTACCCTGCGTTTATTACGTAACTATATTGAACGTACCCCGACAGACTTGTCAACACAACAGAAAAAAAAACCTTTGTCGCTTACTTCAAGCAGTTAACTTCCAAATGCCAAGGAAATTTGGAAACAGGTTGGAGCTGCTCTTCGTCGTGAAACTTCTTCCAGCAGCAGTAGAGCCTCAGCTTGTGTCGAGCAGTAGTTGTTTTTAGTGCTAACGCCATCGTAGCTAAGCTAATGCTCCTGCTAACCGTAACGTAATGACAGACGAACCAACAGCAGTAGCTGTTAGAAGTAAGCACTGCTACTTTATCTGCATTAACTCTGAATACATTGCTACGAAACGGGTCCATCCTCTAGTTAGGTAGCGACTGACACCGGCACATAATTTTCTCCACTGTCTTTTTGCTATTTGGGCTAACGATTGGCTCAGAATGGGGATGTGTTTGTCTTGCTTTGGTGGAGCAGCGGACGACATTGCAACTCCAGACCCTGTGAGTTAGATTACTGAACTCTTTTTTCCAGCTTTATCATTGGATGTGTATCTGAGTGTTGTCTGTATTTTCAAACCTAATAAAACACGCAGATAAAATCAGAGAAGCCCAAACACCGTCATGTTTAAGGGACGCTGAATGTAATAACTGGGTGGGGCGATCTAATTTAACATTAACACTTCAAGCCATTCACTACGAATTAATATTGCGAAGATTTATAATATTTCAATATGTGGAAACATTTTTTAACTAACGGCGAATGAAATCCCTGTCCATCACACCAACGAGGCAGTGGGATTTACTTTAAATTGCCACAAGAGGGAGCCTGCTCTGCAATATCTTTTCCAGGACTGAATTATAATCAAAGTAGCCACCATTTCAAACAGTTGAAGGGTTCATGTGGCCCCTACAACTCGCTGTGTCGGTTTTCAGAGTAGTTACACATAAGAAAGTTTTAGCTAAGAGTTTAAACTTTTGACCTTAGGGGAGGCTCGTTATGCTACTTCAGCAAATAGGTTTCACCTTTAATCAATGGGATCAACCATAACCTTGTACCTTGCAAGGTTTTTACACTGCATACATTATATTTTGCTAGTATTACCAACATTAAAACTGACAGCAAAAGCCTACCCTGGTCAGCTAAGCACGTTAACATAGCATGGAAGATCAATTGTTTCTTAACAATGTAGCATATTTAACAGACAAACCCACACTGTACAATGACGTAGCACAGCAAGTGGCACTCTAGATTTACATCCAGAAATCACAACCCATTCTCACCCTCCCAACACACCCACCAACTGTGAGAATACATCCAGTGACAGCTGCATTAAGTGACTCGCCCAATCCTAAATTTGATTCCATCGCTTACCACAAGAGGGTGCCCCAGAACCACTAGTGATAAACATAATTTGGAAATCTCTTCTCAACGCTATCTTTTCTTTTATTATTAAGCCAAAATTTTATTTTTTTATTTATTTAATAAATGTTAAAAAAATGTGAAGAACATAATCTTAAGTGTTTTGACTCTCAGTCACATTTGTTTTTATATTTTTAACAGGTGACCAGGAGGCAACAGTTAGCTGAAGCTGCTGAGAAAAGGCAAAAAGAGGTCAGTGATGAAAGTAGATATAAGACTGAATGGGAAACTAATTTTTTTAGCAGTACTTATTTTTCTGCCAACTGTAATTTGTAATGTGATTGAATTGTATTTTGTCAAATGTGGACGTGAACCCTACCATTCTGGCTAACAAAGTACAATTCAACAGCAATAAACATTACAGCTTTGCATTGTGAATGAAAATAATCTGCTTTTTTGAAGCTCAAGCAGTAGAAACTCTTTAAAGGGAAGATTCTTAACACTGCAATAAAATAAATTAGCATGTGATACATAACACATTAGAGTAGGCTATTTCTGTATATGATAGACGTACTTGACAGTTTGGTGAGTGCTTTTTATTGTGCAGAAAAGGTACATTCAGACCCGTAGGAGACATACTAAAGTCAGGTCAAGGTAAGAAGGCACAGGCCATATGACTCTTTTGGATTGGCTTCCTTTCAAACCACCAAACACTCTTCTGTGAGTCTCACTCTTCATGTGCAGCCACCCTTGCAGTCCACACCCTAAACTACCTCTGTAACAACCCTCTCTATCATCACCTGTATCATTCTCCACATCAGCTTCAGTTGAATTACTTATTTTCCAAGTTGTGACCTAACACACTTGCTTTATGAAAGCTCTCAGTAACACAGTTTACAGTAAATCTCCTTCAAACGCTTGCATGACCTTTTTGCATAATTTGAATGGAAAATGTTTTATTAAAGATATCCCTAGTACTTTGGTCATGAAGTAGTCACCTTGTCAACATTTACGTCTGTGTTTTAGACAGCATACAGGGGAGTCAAAAATCCAGAAGCAGTTGAAAGGAAAAGGAAAAAACAAGAGGAAACAGAAAAACAAGCGATGAGCAGCTCTGTGTCTGGTGGTGGTGGTGGTGGGTTGAAGGTTAGTGTCTGGTCAGTGTGAAACTGCTTTTTCACACACAAATTATTAGATGTAATAATACTGTATGTAGCACATGTGCACATTATGAGTTGTTAAAGTTGAACTATTGTAAACTGACTCAGTGTATTTGTTGTTTTTCTTGTAGTGGCAGGTGGGATGAACAGCTGCTGGTCAAATCTGAAGTCCTGGGTCTGAAGTCTACATGAAGAAATACTACAAGATGACTTGATGATGTCAGAACGGCTGTTCATTTCCAGCTTTTTTCCCTAAAGTTTTTTTTGAGTTGCGAGAAAAACAGTCACAGCTGTCAAGTGTCATGCAAAATAAACCAACGTGAACGGAGAACAGTCGGACTGCTCCCCAGTCACAGCATCCAGATTGGACCACAGACCGCCTGCTAGTGGTTAGTTTTATTGGATAGAGGTTCAACACTATACTTAACTTAAGCAGTATTTTTACTCACGCTTTTCATGTTTAGATATTGTTTTCGCTACATGTAATTTATGCTTCTTAACTGCACATTTCTTGCTGTTTTCATGTCATTTTGTATTCATGGGTTTATATTGACATTGCATGCCACCGTTATTGCAGCATGTTTGCAAATTGCATATTTACATTGAATTCACACAGTTAATGTTTACAGAGAAGATACTACATTTATTTGCAGTACTACTACAGTGTGCTTCAAGGTACCACCATTTTCACCTTGGTCAGGGCTTCTTAGTTGTTACCTAACATTTGAGGAAGTTCAGCACAAATTCTCCACCTGCAGAGATGTGCTGCGACTGCAGACAATGCAACATTTTATCATGCAAACTGAAAACTGTGCAGTTTACCTTCACAGACTCTGTTTAACAGCAGTCTGACCTTCACCAGTACTCTGACACACTCTCCTACAAGTCACTTTTAAGTTTGCTTTGAGTTATAATGAATGTGCAACGCTAATGTGTTTGTAGCTTGATTCATATGGGCTATAGGATAGATTGAAGTCAATAGTTAGCACACCAAATTAATTCTATTTGACACAGGTGATCTGACTTAATGAATGTGAAGATGTGTTCAAATAAATATCTGACGTAAAGATCATCAGAGTACACATATGTGATGTTGTAATCCTTGATGACGCTCGTTTGAGTGTACTTCCTGTGGCCTCTTACAGTGGTGCTCAGTCTCTCTCTCTCCTCGCTCTTTTTCAATTTGTAGACAAGAAAAGCCAATGTTATTTGCTACAATAAATTGTATTTCTGCTCCTGTTGTATTTTTTATATTATGGAAATTGAGTTATAACAAAAAGTCAGCAGATCAATTCTGGCATCTTAAAATTTACCAATGTTAAAATACATGTGGTATTAATTTTTTTTAGCATTATGTATGATTGACAACACAACTTCCATTCAAACATACTGGTAAAGCTTATTTGGCTTTGGTTTGTGGTAAAGGAAAAGCTAAACATGACTGACTCATTGCCAATCAACAATTAAGAAAACAATTGTGTTTTTAATGATCAAGTCTTCAGAATGATCTGAAACATATTTACAAACAGAGGCTGGACCTTTACCAACCACAGGGCAGAGACAACTCAAACCAGTTCTCTAGGTTAGAGGCCTTTGAATGTAGCACTCTATTAAAAAAATGTTAAGAATAACTAACTGCACTGCCACTAGGGGTCACTTAACAATACTAATGATAAAAAAAGGCTTTGCATAGAAAATGTATACATGTACCAGCTGAAAACTAAATTACACTTTGTTGTCTGAGTGATTGGATTTACTACAATCATTCATTGAACTGGAACAAAAATTATGGTTAAAGGACGTAAGTGTAAAATAGGAAAATAGATATAATAGAAAATCTACTCCTACCATCAACCACACACAAATAAATCCACTTCAGGTCGAAGTGATGATGCCGACCTCCTGGAATGAAACAACTGAACTCATCAAATGCAGTTTACACAAGAAAAATCACAGACCTATCGTAGGTCATTAGAAGACCACAAAAAAAAAATCTTATTTCCATGTTGGTACACTTTGTAAAATTGCAATTAAAAACAATTTGTAAACTTTAGTTTGTACCAACCATGAAGAGAATAACATATGTTTATGATTAATGTTACATAATTAACAAATATATCCACAAGCCAAGCTTGTATGACACCAGACACCCATCTGGTGTAACATTCAAAAATATATCTGAAAACACATCAGTATTACACAAGTGCGATGCCACACTGTTAGTAAACCATCCATATGTTGGACAGACATCATCCCTGTCCTGTTTGTCCTTTACTAATGGGACACTTTTTTTTTAAGAAATCCGGAAACTCATTCTGATCAACTAACTCCAGAAGGCATTGTGGCCACCATTACCATGGACCTGGTCACCCAGGGTGTAGGCCTCGATTCCTAACTAAGGGAAACTGGCTCCATCATGACAGCTTTGGGGAAGTTAAAAAAGACAGTTAAACTTGTGCTCTTAATGTAATAAAAATTCATGTTCTTGACATTTGATTTAAATTCTTGATGAAACTGCTTAAAGGGTGTAAGTAACAAATACATGCACCTGTCTAAAACCTTTGCACAAGGCTGCGTCTCCTCATTTTTTGCTGCGGTAGTGTGCTGCCACCACCAGGTAACTGTCAGGGCTCAGGTCTTTGATATTTGGAGACTTGCTGCTGATAGGAGAAGACTTGCCGTCCACCCTGGAGAACTGGAGCACGCGGCATGGGTCGTGTTTGAGCAGGTAGCTCTCGAAGGTCTCCCAGCCTCCACCAACACGCACCATCACATGTTTGTTGTGCAGCATCTGCAAACAGAAATCAGATTAGGCTGTTTCTTCTTATCCTTGTGATGTGTGACAAAGAAAAGCTCTGAGCTCGGTGTGGATCTGTCTCTTCTACACCACTAATGTCATTTTCCTGATTGATATGTCGGGCTGAAATTGAATGAGCAGTTAATCATGGCTTTGATGTCAGAGCTGATTGATGTGGAGACCTCCGACTGGCTGATGTCCCAGGAGTGAAGCTTTCTGCTTTAGGTAACAACATCTACAGCCACATTAGTTCGATTGCTGACAGACACGAGACTGGAAGAATACATGGAAGTGGAATTCTTCACTGAACTCTGTCTATAAACTTACTTACTTAGCTACAGCTAGGGACCAAATAATTAGTAAAAAATAATTTGTTTACATAACATGTGTGTATACATACAAACACACATACAGTATATATATATTATGTAAATGTCTTACTCCAAAAAATTAATTCTTTTTTACTAATTATTTTGTCCCTAACTGTAGAATTATTATTTAAAATGATATATATAATATATGAATACAATTTTGCATTTTAATTTTTAATTATTTTTATCATGTATATGTTACATTATACATTATGTAATCTCAATAATATATATGGAATAATTTGATTTTACAAGTAACGGTTTAACTCTCAGCATAGGAAGTTCTTATGAAATACAGTATGTATTAAAGTGTTTGAGAGTAATAGTCAATAGTCCTATACACCAAGGGGTCGCCAACAGTCTAGAAAACTGTTTAGCAGCATCATTATGTTTATTTATTATTCAAAAATCATCGAGTAATTTTAAAATCCTCTGTTTGAAAAACAAAAGAATGATTTGATCCCTAATATTTAAAACACCTTGCTCTAAAGACCACTCAGGAGATCATTTTTTCAGGCTCCTAATATTATTACACAACATACAGTATACAAATAAGAGATGCTAACATTGGCATATACTCATGTTATGACCAATAGTTATATAACATTCCAGTTAGTTCAAAGAGACAGGAAAACATTACTGTAACTTAAATCAAATGACCCATGACACTCTGCTCAACGAACCATTATGACTTTCTTTTTTAAATCATCATTAATTCTGAAATATTATCTATAAAGAGATGCCACCTGCTGTAAGGGGCCACATTCTCAGGTTGGCTGCCATGGCAACAACAGTCATTATTGTACCAGGAAAAAGAAATAAGGGATATTGGACGCATGCTTGCATTCCCCAGAGGCTGTGGACATAAAACACGTCTTCCCCGTGCCTCATTAAGCCATCATTACACCTCCACTACAACCAGCTGGTTGACAGAATACTCCTCCATTAGAGACCGGGCAAATAAACAGGTCACTATGAAGACGGTTTATATTCCGTCAGTTTCCTCAACAGCACAATCAGCCCAATGATGACTCAGAAAAATACCAACCTAAATCATTTTATCAGAAAGGGTAAAGAACCTCATGAGACGGTCACCTCAGCCTGGTCAGATATTACTCCTCCTGCCCCGCAGCACTGTAACATGCAACATTTATAAGCCTCTTAAAAGAATCAATCTAGGGGCCAGTGGCAGGGCACAGCCTCCAATCACCAGCACCGGGCCTCCAGGCTCTGTGGCTTTAATGGACCTGTGTGGAGCAGACCGGTTCTATCAGGCTGCTCTGGGACAGGGGACTCTCATTGTTGGACCACAAGTCCCTGGGCAGGAGCCCAGAACAGGGCACAGGCCCCGGGCGGAGCTGGGACAGCACTTTTTAATAAACACTGCCACGTTACTCTGCCCCCGTGTGCAAGCTACAAGCATCTCATTTATTCCAAGAGCTAAGAAGGTCAGACTCTCGGGAAAACCGTGCTTTTGTCGAGGTACGGAGTCTCAGATGTGCTGCGAAACCCACTGTCCTTGCCATTGCGTGGCTTTTGTGTATTCATGCAGTATCACTGGAGGTTGTGGGGCAAAAACCATGTGAGGAATTTTAATTAAAGAGTCGTCTCTGTGAAAAGCCGCGAGCTGAGAGATGGCAGACTGAAGAGGTGTACAGACTCTTTGTTTGGATCAAAAGACTCATTCACATACAAGACAGGAAGAAGAAGAAAAAAACGTAATAATGAAATTGAAATAATGAGAAAAAGAAGATAGATGAAGAGGAGATGTTGAGAAGAAAGAAGACGTAGATGGATAAGAGAAAAAGCAGAAAGAAGAAGAAATAGCTCTTTATTTTTATATTTCCATTCCTAACCTGAATGAACGTCTAAGCCGTACTTCACCAGCACTGTGAGTAACTTGTCATCTGCCCTTGGTTGCTCAGCAACGCAAAGTGTGTCGGTTGTTGCTTTTGAAAATATCACAACAGCACAGAAACTATGATCCCGTTGCTGCCAGGGTATTTGAAACACACCTATTATATCAAATCCTACAACGATAGAACACAGCGCTTTAATATTAGCGCGTGCGCTACAGCACAATCACAGCAGAGGGCGCCCAACAGTGCCGTCCCATTCTATGTTTGCACTTATTAAACATACAGTCTGCATGAATCACATTCTTAGAGGTGTGAAGCTAGGCCGTGGGTTGCCAAGTAACCAAGATCCCAGGGGAAACGGTTCTATTCTTTAATCCACCATCGCTGCCATTTATTTCTCTCCAGTAGCCTTTTCATTCCTCCACCACCAAATCCAAAAACATTCCCCTGCACTGAAAAAAAAAATCCCGGGGAATTCAAGAAAATACAACTGCGGCAGCCAGATATGGCTGTTATGACCCGGCAGAAATATTTTCCATGTAATAACTTGGTCATTTTGTCATTTTAAAATGTGTGGCTTCCATTTTCCTATTACAGCCGCTCAGCCACATCAGATTTGGCTGAAGAGGGACATTGTTGGAATAACTTTACCAGTAAATGAGACCTCACAGCAGAAACAGTCACTCTGACACACTCACATTTACCGAAACACCACAGTGTTAACATCTTGCATTTGTTTCCTGAATCCGTTCAGATCGGCAAAATATTTGATACTACTAACTAACTTTATAGACAAAACAACAGTCAGACATAACCCCTAATGAATTAAAACATTGAAGTCGTGTCATGTTGTAATGTGATATCATACAGTACTCACTCGTATAAAGAGCATCTTCTCCCCCACTCTGTACCGACCCTGTGACTGTCTCTCCACACAGAATTTATTTGGACACCTGCAGGGGGGGTCGTCAGCGATGTGTCTGACCTGTGACAGAGGGAAACATGAATTCAACTGCTTCAACTTCAACTCCATCACAAAAGCACAGACAGATGACACTGACTTACGGCATCATCCAGAAGCTTCCCTGCGCTTTTCTTTGTAGATGTCACTTTGGGAGGAGTCGGGGAAGGAGACGGTGAGGGGGATGGAGAAGGTGAGGGAGATGGAGATGAGGCAGGTGACGGAGGAAAGGGTGGAGCCGGAGATACAGGTGAGGGGGGAGGTAGAGTCGTTTTCTCTTCTTGTTCAATTTCTTTCTCTAGTTTGATGAGACCAGGCGGCTCCACATTGTACCTACATAGACCACAGACGTGAACCCAGGTGGGCCGTGAACGAAGTCACATCAATACTGAAGCTGTTTAAAATAAGGAGGCCTTACCTCGATGCTATCCGTCCCAACTCTAAGAGACAGAGACACACTTCACGCGGTTGTTTGTGAAGAACTATAGGAAAATACACAGAGTCAGAGTCAGGTATACAAATATAATACTTCTTCTACTACTACTACTACTACTACTACTACTACAGTACTACTACTACTACTACCATATCTACGTGAAGCTGTAAAAATAAATTTCATGAACAAAAATAAATTCATGCTTTTGACCAGTCAACACACATCAAATACAAATAAGTGCAAGTCTGCTGAGACTGGTGTGAACTATAGATCACTCATGATGTGACAGACAGTGACGGTGAATACAGGACATATGGTGACATAAGATGACAAACCACACCATGCATGAGGGCAAACCTGCTGTTGCTACACCTACTTCCAGAGGGACAGAGCTGAGCCCAGAGAGAAACAAGGAGGGAGGCGAAGAGGAAGAAAGTAAGAGGAGACGTCAGATGTTGTCACTCATACGAAAATACACAGTGATGTACACGGCTTTGCTTATATTTAAGTTTCAAAACGGCCCAGCCGCTGCTGAGGGGAAAATAAACGTCTCCGTCTCTGACAGGGACACATACTGGGCGACGCTGTTGTCAGCACAGACGGAGCTGCACACATTTTTCTGTGACTTAGTGTGCAAGAAATCCTTTCAACAAAGAGGCAGAGATAACACATCAAGTGCGTGACTGAGGATGAAAGCCATTTGGTCCATGAGCTGAGGAAAACATTTGCATAGTGTTGGCCTACTTTTCCCACTGCCTTAACACTCGTCCTCTGTTCTGCTTTTGTTTCACTACAGACATTTTGACCATGGGCCCAGTATTTTTTTTTAAACATTGTTGGGTTCTTATCACCGGGTGGAGATCTAATCAGATATTCGACATTAACAGGATGTCAAATAAGCTGTGGCAGAGCTCACAGATAGGAGTCATGTGAGCTGCAGAGTGAAGAAGAGGAAGGAAGTACAGTCTGTGTGATACTGTACCTGTACAATCATGCCATTCACGGCAGGAAGAAACCTGAGTCCAGGACTGTGGCAGTGCCAGCACCAGCCACAGAACAACTGTGTTCTATAGAAACCAAGGCTGAGATTCCCAACCTTTTTTTGGCTTGTGACCCCATTTTGACCCCAGAGACATCTTAGAAGCTGTCACGTGATCACAGCCACCAATCAAGCGCCAGCTAAGATAATTCTATACGCTGCATTTTATTTGAACTCGTTATTCATATTCATGTAGTGAATGAATAAAGTTGTTTTTAAAAAAATAATCCAGCCGGAAAGAATTGTTAAGTAGCATTGTCCCTTTCAACAAGTATGGGTTTTATTTAATTAAAATAATAATAATAATCATTTGTTACAGACTGATAAAAAGGTTAATTATAAAACAGGAATGTGACCCAGTGGTTAAACTTTATTTTAACTTTGTTAGCTTGTTTTGCAGGTATGATGTCAAATGTGAGTATAAAGCACTAAGGTTTTTAAATTTGATAAAATAATGATTCTGGTGCTTTAAAAAAATGAAGACTATTGTGATTTCTTTTAAACAGCATGTATACAAACAAGGCGGACTCACCTAAACCCTCGGACTCAAACAGACACGTTTCTCCAACTCCAACCTCCCGACACCAGGACAAAAAGTTAGCCGTGTTGTCCCGCGCAAAGAAAGATCCAGAGGGAGCACTGCGCCGACACGGTATCCTCCGATAGGGAAAACTCTGCTAAAAACACAAACAACAGTAAATATTCCTATGTACTGTACCAAACGGTGCTTGATATAAAGGTAAAACAGGTCGAACAGGGCGACTTGTTGAGCTCCGCCCACAGATGTTTCCTCCAAACACAAATTCTAAATCTTATTTTTAATCCACTTTTCACTCCCTGTGCATGGGCTCAGGTTTCTGGGGAGCAAAGATCAGAATTTTATTCACACAGATCAATATGGGAAATGGCAGGTTAGAAAGGCCTGGCTACTTCACCAAGCCTGAGAATTGGGATCAAATAACATGGGAATAGGTTTCAGCTCCCACACGGTCTGCTCAGAGAGATTTATGTGCCTTTCTTTGGTTTTTATACAGAGTGTGTGTCTGTGCTATGAGAAAAGGTGCAATGAGCTCATGCTGGAAACATGCACACATCGGTGGGTATTTTTCTTTCCCTCCAGCGTCTCCCTTTGACTTTGACTGAAAAACCTTTTTGTTGTTGAATTGCTCTGCATTCCTAGAGAAATAAACTCCAACAATCGTAAAATGTTGTCATTTCTGTGGTGCCTTCATGAAAGCATTTCATTATTCATGTTGTCATTTCTGCGGTGCCTTCATGAAAGCATTTCATTATTGATGCAAACATTTCGAGTTTCACAGCTGCACGTGCACACCTCTGCACATTAATGCCTGTTTTCTTGCTTTAACAACATACTTTACACTTTACCTTTGCTACTGTGTGAATATAAGAATAGCACAGGGATTCTCAAGTATAAACAAAAGAATCAAAGCTTCTTCATTCATTAGAAACATATGGTGATGGGGTTTTGATCTGCAAGGATGCTGCCCTCTGCCTGTGTTTTCTCCTTTGACGTTTTATTAGCACTGCAGTTATCAGACTACAGCGTAGGTACCTGGGTTAATGTCAAGATAAGCTTTCAGGAAAAGAGATATGTGGTATTAAAAGTTAAAGAATTAGAAAAAATAAAGTATGTCAAACAATACATTATAAATAGTCTTGGAGCCAGGAATAAAAAAGAACTATAATATTTAGGTATAAAAACTATATTTTGTCCTAACTTGTTCAGCCGTGGACAACCAGGTATTTCAGTACCAGGACATTTGCAGACCCACCCTGTCCAGTTCTGTCCCACTAATCACTGGCTTAGACTAGGGAATCCGTGGACGTGTGGTGCACGTGCTGCCACTACGGGACGCACAAGATAAAAAATGTGATGGTGGTTTGGTTATGTTCTATGTGTCTTCTGGTCATTTGAGCATGATTAAACATGCTGCCTTCATATGCTTTTTGCTGTTTGTGTTTTTCCAAAGGTGAGGGGAATTGAGGAACGTCGCCCTGGTTGGGATCTACAGTAGAAGAGGGTGCGCAGCTTCAATCATCTGTAGTTGATATTGACTGACATAAACATGAGGGAGAGAGTGTGAGAGAGACAGCATCTCCACGGAGTGCGATACATCACTTTTCTCCGCTGACATCACTTAGTCCCACTTCACGAACCACATCAATTGGTCATGGGACTTTAGCACAGATAGAAGTCCTGTTGGAAGTGTGTATGAAAAATCCTATCTGTTTGTCTCCTGGATCAATAGGCTCTTGTATTTCAGCAGCTCCCACGGTCATTGACCCCCAGTGTTTCCTCACATCTGTGCTGCCGCTCTCACACTGAAATCAGGAGACCCGCCGTCATCAGTGAGGTAATGACTTTGAGTTCTAATATCAATAGCCTTTACTACTTTTCCTCTGTGTGAACAGAGCAGACCTAATCAGTCTGACAGTCCAGGGGACGCCAATCCATATTTACTGGCACTGGAGGTAACACATCAATTGGTTTTCCATCCATCCATCTGTGGGTGGTGAGTCCACTGGAAGGTACCAACCGCCCTAACCGGGATTCGATCTTGTCCAGGGAGTTAACCCTGGGGTTCTACACCAATGACAGAGACATTGCCTCTGGACTAAAGCTCCACCAATTGTTTTTCTATTCTTGGAAATGAAAGCCCTGAGGGAAACGTGCTGTGAAAAAGTTACCAAACACTCATCAGAGGCACGATATGAGGTTAATCACTTATTGGACCAGTAATAAATAATACATAGAACCTACTGTATAAAGAACTCTTATTTCCTTCTGTGTTGTGCACTATGTGAATTTCAGACCCTTCTTAACTGTACTTCACATTCTAAGTTGAGTATATCTACAGTTTAGCAAACAACAACATATCAGTCTCAGTTTTCACAGTTTTGACAGCCGCCTTATTTGTGTTTTGCATTCTGAATTATTGCCCTTATTTATGACATGGGAGATGTAACTATTTCCTGTAGTGATGCTTTCCCAGCGAGCGTCTCTGCAGGGATTTGAGGGGATTTTGCGTCACATTCTCACAGAAATTTAACTGTGTTTTTTTTTTTCAGATGAGAAAGCATCACTTTCAGCTTGCTCTTTAAGTGCTTTGCATAGTAATGTTGGTATAGTTTTGATGCTAAATGCTAGCTATTTCTAATAATTCAGTCTGGGACCAGCAGTGTGTCGCTGGGGAACAATGTGCACCGTTTGAATCCAAACCTTCTCCAAATCTGCTGAGCTGCAGCAGAACCTTTATGTTTTTACATTACATTAAAATCTAAACCAATCAATACACAAAATAAAACTGTAAACTTCAATATTTCTTTTGCAGTAGCTCAACAATTAGTGTTAAAACATTTTCACGACTCTTGACTCTGTTCCCGTCATATACAGATTTTTACTGAAACGTTGGTTCAAGTTACACTTAACTGCCTGCAAAGTTATCTTTTAATCTTCTGAATTTAATAAGCCCTCACTCAAACCTCTAGAAAAACCAACATTCACCACTGACGGTAAACTCTCCGAGGGAATGTGGGGCCCCATCAGTTAATGTGTCCCTGCCAGGCTTGTTGTTTTTATTTTTTTCTTCCTTTTTTCCTGCTCTGCTTAAAGGCTACGGGAAACCCCATCCCCCACCCAACCTTCTCCACTGATTTCTGACACTGCAGAGATACGAAGGCTTGCTGATAAACTGTCTTAGTCTGGAACTTGTTGCTGTGCGAGAGTTGTTTAAGTAGTTGACCTTGTCAGTCAGATCCCACCTCAGTACTGCCTGATGGATGTTTAAAACATTTCACATGTCAAACGAGCCAAGGTGACACTAAGAACTACCTCTGGGAGAATTGAAGCCTCCTGATTAGTGTTATCACATGCTTTCAATCATGCCAGAATGCTGTCAACCCCCCCCCCCCCCCCCCGGTTCCACTGTACCTTATTGTTGCCAAGGGCAGGCAGATCTCCATTACTTTGCTTGAACTTCTGCTGTAGCGTCTCAGCCAGCTGGCACAACAAGAATCCATTGTCTAGGCGATCCATGAAGCTCTCTGCGGTGATTTCCAGACCTGACCAGGGAAAACATAAAAAGGCAGCACCGTGAATTCATCATAAAAACTCTGCATGTAACATTATATGCGTTGTAAGGTCATAAAGTCTGAACACTATTCCATTTGCAATTCGAAATGGACCTGGTGCAGAGTTGTCGACTCTTGAAATTCACTTGGGTGATTGAGCCTCAGTCTCCATCTCACAGCTGGGTTCTCCGTACAAGCCAAGATTTTAAATTCTACAGCAGAATTTAGTCAATGGCCGAATCTTTTTTTTTTTTCCAAGAAAAACACCACCAAGTGGCAATGACATCTGCATATGTAGATATTTGATATGATTTCATTTTCAGTGCTTTCTTATTCTACACAGTTGCAGAGATAGATTGGTGATCAACATGTGGTGTCCAGTTGAATGACTTCCAGAGGACCATTCTTTCATGGTTAGATCATTTTGAAATAGGAGGTGGTGGCAGGGGGTGTCTGTGGAAAGAAACTGGAGAGTTTTTTTTGTATCCCTTTTCTGGTTCTTATTGGAGGAGGGGTATTGGGGTTTGACATTTAATGAGTTCCAAATGTTGTAAATGAGCCCAAAACAGAAAGATTGAAATGTTAAAAAATGCCCTGTGAGCACGGGTCTTATGGACGGCCCCGCTCTCCTCTTTGAGAAAAATGTATTCCAGAGGGCTTTAACCATTAGACTTCTTTCTTTAAATTGCTCAGTTCTCTCAACGCTTCTGTCAATGGTTCTAACCAAGGATACATTTCATCAGTCTCCAGCTTCCACTTATTTAATGTGCATCTTAGATATTTATGATTCATAAGATGAATTCTGATACAGGCAAAATAAATGATAAACAAAAAGATCAAACAATCAGAGCGTGTCAGTGCTATACATATTTGTTATTTATTGTTAAAATAAATATAGGAAATAAAATCTGTGACTCAATGAATAGCTTAACTAACAGGAAATCAGAAGCCAATTTCAAATTAATTTACCTCTTTTATATGACAATTGGAAACCTTTTGCCTACAAAAACCAGTTAACCCAGTTCCTAAATATAAATAGTGCATTTATTCCATCTAAAGATACTCTGCCAACTTTTCTATCATAACGTTAGAAGAATAATTAAGAATAATTCTTTATCATATGAAATTAAAGGTTTTACATATGTGTCAATGATCATGCAGGACTAATAAATAAGTAGAACCTGACGCTATTTTATACGGTTCACGTCACAGGTAGGATGAAGATGTAAATGGTCTTAAAGATAAGTTAGATTGGATCATTTAATAAGTGAGAGTAGACTGTAAATAAAAAGCGGTGGTCAGTGCAGTGCAGAGTCTGTAATGAGAATAGCTACATTGGAACACACACACTTCCAGCCAACACAGGAAGCAGGATGAAGTTGTTAGAAGTTGTTCAAAAATAGCCAGGAGTCAGTCTCAGCATCCTAATTGGCTTTGGGGTCTGTAAGAAAAATGTCTGCTGGACAGAATGCCGTCTGCAGATTATCCAATAACGTCCAGTCATTAGGTGAACAATATTAAACACAGGCGCGCATGATTCAAAAAGCGTATTCTTTTAGAATAACGTCTCGCTATAAAGTCCTAAAATTCATGCTGACTCCAGTGAAACCTGCCACTTGGCTTCTTTGGTAAAAGTGATTATCTTTTTTTTTTTTCTTGAGGGAAATTCTTTCCCTTTATCCATAACAGGTGAGTTGTTTCTGCAGGCAGAGTTTTAGTCCATCCATGTGGTCCTGAAACGTACTTGGCTCGTGTGAAACACTTTAACAGGCTTCTGCGAGTATTTGTGTTAAGGATATACAGCTGCAGATATACAGTACTGCACAGCTGTGTAGTACACAGACAAACACAAGCTCTCACAAGGCGTCACATACGCACAGTGTTAATGAGCCCCAATAATTCAATTAAAGAAAATCAAAGGTAGAGCGTGTGATAACGGTTTTCAACACAAGTTTCTAATGACCTTCAGATTGATTCCAGGTCCCTGCAAAGGTGTTCACATCAAATAGATACCATTTAGGAATTTGCAGTATTTTATAGTTGCCAAATCTTTTTTGCTCTTTATTAAAAAGGTCTTCTTCCATCAGTCCCTCGTACGGCGTCAAAACTCACCAACTAGTTTGCACTGGGACTAGTTGGCGAGCAGAGAGGACAACTTCATCATCACGTAGCGCTATACGCAGACGGCGGCTTTGTTTACATTTGTATGCCATTCACTGAACTGAGCTATATTCACATTCTTTTGTTTGTGCTCTTCTGATTTGCCCTTTATTATGATCATTATTATGACTTATTATGATAGATCAGGATGTTACCCATGTGTTGGAATAAGTAGGTACTTATGTACAGTATGTGAGTTCAAACATATTTGTGGGATTTTGAAAATGACTCTTCACTCATAAATGTCGTGCTGCTTTTGTGGGCTGCGTGAGGGGCAATTACCCAGCATATTAGTGAGCCACAGGGCCAGGTCCTCCTTCATGGGCAGCAGACTGGCTTCATGACGACTGGCCAGCCACTGGTGATACTGCTGGAGGTCTGTAAGGCCAGGCCCAATGAGATGTTTAGGACTCAGGGAGCTGCACATGGTTGCCTGTGGACAGGCTGTGGAGGAGAGTGGAACACCATTACCTTCATTTCAAAACAATTGAATCCAAACAATAATGTTAGTGTCTATGTATAGTAGTATATAGTATTGTACATTAGCTCAAACCTAAACATTTAAAACTGTACGAGAGCTGCAACAGTTTAAACCTTATTTTCCATGATTTATTCAACATCTAAGCATATAAGGAGACCATGGTATAAGAGTGCCTTTGTTCTATTTTCCCAAATGTGATGTGGTTTATAGTGCACCTGATGACAGGTGACATTCTCATGTACCACTGAGTTCTACCTCCTGACTGGACATGAGGGGAAATCTTTAATCCTCCACTCATACCGTGGAACTCTTTGATCACAAACGAAGAGCTCTTTCAGATGATTCTGTCATAACAACTTACTAAATCAATGCAGTACACCGAAGAGGATTTAGTGCACCAACAGACATCAATATTTAGAGCACTAATATATAACAGCTTACAGCACAGAAAATGAAGCCATTGAGCGATGGAGACATTTCTCACAGTCCTCTCCAATATCATGCTCCAGTGTGTTGCTTATAAGCTCCAAAGTGAAAATCATTTAACACCTCGGCCCAGTGTCACCCTATTACAGGGTCTGCAGCTGAGACAAGGCAGTATTTAAAACAAACAAGTGGGCACCAGATGTTAAGAGGAGTACAATAAACAGCTCAGAGTTAGCGACCACAGATGTGTGCAGCCATTCACATGTCTTCATAGTAAACTAATGTACCTAATATAGTAATATGGTTAGGAAATTATTATTGTACCTAGTTTCCATTGAACATCCATTCATTTAGAGTTAGTACTAAAATCAGTACTATATGCCATTTCCAGTGCTTTCTTAACAACAGACTTTAACTTGATCACTCTGTTGACTTTATCTGTATGTTCTAGATTCCATCCTGTATGTTTGTAATTGTGCTGCAAAAACGTTGACGCATCAGTGACAGAGAAAGTTCAGCCTGAACACTAGCGTGCTTGTCTTTGCATACTTTGCTTAGGCAGGCAAATAATGTTAGGATATCTGATGCAAACTACAGACAGGCATTTTTAAATGATGCCACGAACTTTTTGTTCGTAGTGTAATGTCTGAAATATTTCTCCAAATACTGAGGGAGTGCAGCACAATGTGAGGAATCTGACCTTTAAAGCGGTGTAACATTTCAGGCTGCTGCAGAACTCGACTCTAACCAAATAACACACTGGTGCAACACCAAACATCTGGACCTTGATGTTCCACAAGGTCATCTGATCTTCCACAAGACAAGAGCTCCTGGTTGTGTACAAACACTTATCTCTGGAGCTCCGCAACCTCACACAGGTGCTACATTCCCACAGCCAAGGCTGACAAACAGAACAAGGGAAGTGGGACAAAGTCTCCAAGTACAAGAACAAATCATTTAGGCTTGATGACTGGTGTGATATGTGAATTAAAACAAAGATGTGTGGCATATACAGTAGGTGGAAATAGCAATGCAAAATAAATGGAAATGTTCAGTACCATTGTTCTACTAGATACATTTGCTATTCTCTTAGATTTAATTATGCTTTTTAAATAAAATAATTGTGAGATTACAATTACAAATTTTTTTAAAAATCCTATTTTTTCCTGTGTATTAATATGTTATAGTCAGTCCAAAACAGATAGATAAAAGCCGTAGGCCTTTTTACAATATGACAAGAAGATGAAGTCAAAATCATAATCATTATTTTTGCGCGAGTTAACCAGACACACTTGACAACAGAGGCCTGGAAACTTTTAAAAATCCCACAAGTATATTTCATATGAGCAAAATGAGTGCTTAAAAGCCACAAAAGGTAACTGGCCTATTCCAATATGCACTAACTCACTTTAAGAGACTTGGGGATTCAGTCATTTTAGAGCTCAAATGTTTATAGTCTTCCCAACGGGACCATGAAAGGACATCCTGTTGGGTTTCCCCTACATTTCCAAGGTAAAAACAACCAGTTGTTATTGAACCTACTTGGTTTCTATCACCACACTGTAGGCTGACCTCTTTGCCACTTGAGGGCAAAAAAAAGCATCCCTGCACCATACACTACTTGGGCTTTATGCTGCAAACACCATCTGCTAAGTCTATACAATTCTCAAGTTCAGGGTGACTTTTAACTGGATTTGACTCAAATATATTCAAATTTACATGTTCTCAGCCATAGAGGCCTCATGACTCCAAGAAAGCCTTCCTAACATGCCAAAGTTTTCTGCAGATTGCTCGAGGACAGGCAGACGGATGGGAAATGTAACTGCTGAATCTTGTCAATTACAAAACAACAAGGGTGGCTTTGTGCTCCTAAACCTCACCGACCTTCATGCCTTTCTCCTCCACAGCAATGAACTTATGTAGCAGCTGATTCATCTGTTTAAACATGAGGACTCAGTCTATCTCCACTGCAGATTATGCAGTGCATGTACCCTGATTTCCAACAGCAGTTTTATATTCCTGTCATCAGAAAAGATTGTTAAAGTTACAGCATTATTTTCTTTTAAACTAAATGTATGTCTAACACTGGGCTTGAAATATCATCCTAAATGTCAATAACATGGGTCTAAGGTCTCTCACATAAAAAAGTAATATTATTTTGATTTAGTAAAAAAAAAATTATTTGAATTCAACAGTCTGACAGATGCTGTCTGTCAAAGACAGTCTGATGGACATCCAGTACTCACACAGCTAAACATAAACCTAATGGTTTGACAACTTTGTCTGAGACTGCGCTGCATCTGCCTCATAAAACACTCAGCCATACATTTCATTTACAATTTTATGAACTTCTCTCTCTGCAACAGCCACATCAAACAGTTCAGTACTCTGGAAACAGGATCAAGGAGGGATGATGAGCTGTGGTTCAAATCCAGCCCATACCATGCAGTCAGTAATAACTGTGAAATGGCTGGACTACAAATGCATCACTGTCCAGATGAATAAAGATGCCCTGAGTTCATTTAAAAATAAATAAATAATAACACCTCAGGTTAAACAGATACAGCAAATGAGCATACAAGTCAGAAGGTATAATATGACGTGTTTTAAAAGTAAAATTAGAGAAAGTCAGTGTGGAGTAAACAGAGAGTGTGCTGTGTGTGTGTGTGTGTGTGTGTGCGTTCTCACCCTTGGAGTTCAGTTCGCTGGTGAACACCTTCCTCTCACTCCTGCTCTGAGCTGCAGGCTCTTACTTTTCATGCTTTTTACAGTCAAGCATTGACTCAGAGATTACACTGGAAATCACACAGGCAGTGAGAAACAAGGAGCTGAGCAGAACTCCCCCTCTCTCTCTTTCTCCCTCTCTCTCTCTAACTCTCACTCTCTCTTTCTTCCTCTCTCTCCTTGCAGGCTTGTTCAGCACCCCCCACAACACATACGTGGGAGGGGACGTTTTATCCCACTATATAGTTCCGCCCTTCGCTGACAATAATAATAATAATAATAATAATAATAATAATAATAATAATGTTGCTAAACTTTACTCATTTAACATCTTTTTGTAAACGTGATTCCAGTTTATAGCTAACTCGAGGGCTAACAGCCATTACATCAGTTTGTTTATTTATTTAATGCAGTGTATTCTAAAACAAATAGAAAGCACCAATTTACTCCTATGTTATTGAGGTTTTTCCTCAGATATTAATTTATTCAAAGCTACTAACCCAAAAAGCACAAAAACTCGCCGGAATATTGTGAATTTTCATGTAAAAATTGGATTTTCCTCGCCATTTTTAGACAATTATTACCTTTGTTTGTTATTAAGAGAAACTCCCTTCTATCTCTTAAATAACTGAATTAGAAGGTCCCCATAGGAAAAGACTTAGCTTTTCTGAGCGGTGTAGCGCTAACTAACCAATTGCTAGTTGTTTTACTCTCCTCTCTTACCGGAAACCATTGCCTTATTTCATTGTCTGACATAATATAAAACAGACAAATCGTTGTTCTTGTATGAACATTTTTAGGGAGCTTTGTGTCCAGACTTACTGGAAATTGTCTGCACAGCTTTTGCGAATTAGCGATATATTTTATTTTGAAGGGCTCTAGGTCCCAAACCCCGATTAATTTCTAATCCTGTTTTCTATTGTTTGGCGAGGTTAGTTGGTTTGTCACGTACCTTTTTTATGCAGTCTTGTTGTTATAACCGCCTCCCACCGACTGGGAAATCACAAGCCTAATTCACATGTTTGAAATAGTTTAGGGAAAAAAGTAGGTAAGAAACTAGACCTAGTTTTGTTTGTGTGCTTGCCATCTTTTATTTTGAAGAGAGAGTTTCATGTTGCGCATGCGTAGCTGGGGTTAAACTACAACGAGGCGCGGAAGAAAGGAAATAAAAACAGAACAGTGAGTTTATACAAAATAATACTGACACGCATTAAAATATACTGCGATTTGTTTATAAATATTTTTTAAATGCCATTCTTCCAATGTGTGTGTCACCAAAGCGGTCGGCAGGGTTTGTTTTATGATAGGCTAACAGCGAATGCAGCTTGAAGTTTAGTGACTTTAGAAAAGGAGGTAGTAAGAGTTCATTTTAGATTTTATGTTTCTGTGTCCCCCCTAATGTCTGCCCTGATGCATTAGTGTCCGCAGGCTGAGTCTAGTCCAGATGGAGTCGGTGCTGAAGAACGTGTCCAGCTCTGTGGAGCTGTTGGCCGTGGCAGCTCACAGCAGTGTGGTGGAGCATTGGCAGGAACAGACCGTGTCCAGAGCGTTTCAGTGGGCCTCTTACTGTGAACATCTCCATTCCAGATTTCACAGCAACCCCACTGTAAGGGGAACTATTGAGAAGCAGATTCAACAGACAAACCAACATTTACTCTCAGCGTTCCCTGGATGTACACAGGTGTGCTTCTCTGACCTGTCTCGGTTGCGTCACCTGCTGCTGCAGGGGCTGTTAACTAACCCTAAACTGCCTCTTTCTATCATGAAGACACTGTTTGACAGCAAACATCCAGCAGAGAGAACATACAGTGAGAACCAGGACGTGCATGGACTCTGCAACTACATCGTTCGGTGTAAATCGGCATGTAAGGTCCTGCGTCTCCTCACAGACTCCTTAGCTGTTGGTGCAGTTGGTGCTGATGCTGAGGTGTTAGGAGAGACGCTGATGGAGAGACTGGAGGCTGTGATGAGCCAGAGCGGTGACCTGTGTAAGGCAGAGCACTTTTTAGACTCTGTCCTCCAGGGAGGTGAAGGAGCAACACCACATTTGTGTGTTGTCATCAGTGCAGCGCTGCTGACGAGGAAGAAGTCCGCGGCAGAAACTGCTTCTCATGCTGTTCTCCTGGACTGGCTGTTGAAAAGACACAGCACACTGAAGCACATGGTCACAGAAGCGCCCACTGCACTCATCACGGACTTGGTCAAAAGGCATCTGAAATTTAGAGATGCGTACTGTAACGTTCTTAAAGAGTGGGCCTCTGACATGGAGTACAGCCTCAGTGAAGGTGAATGGACAACACAGACAAATCCCACATTGACGTTTCAGAACCTGACACAGCACTTTCTGACCTTGTTCGAGGCTTGTCCCTCAGTCAGAGCTGAGGTTGAAAAAGAGTTGAACATTTTGAAAAAATCAGATGGAGACTTTGAAGTTGGTGGTCTGAGTGTATGGGGAGACCTTCTCTCAGCATTGAACCAGTGACATATGTATATTTATGTATTTATGTATTCACCCTTTGTTTGTTTGACTTAGAACAAACTGATTATTGAAAGCTGTAAATGTTTTATCTTCTGTAATATTTTAGTATTTTGACACATTAATTGATTTGTCTAATGTTGAATACAAACCACTCCAGTTTGCCATCCATCAACACTAGTTCACAATTTCAGAACTCTAAAAGGGTGATATTAAGAAAATGTTTGTTTAATCTAAAGTTTTCCAATGCCATATTGGTTACAAAGTCATTTTTTGGTTATAATAAAAAAACTTGAAAAACTGTCTAATGGTAATGTGTTGCTTGTTAATTTAAAAATGTAATGAGTTACATCTTTTGTGTCTTCGTTTTTTAAGCAACATTTATTTCTTGTTGCTACTGTATGTTTTTTTCAAACTCTTGTCCTTTTTATTGGCTAAATGTGGCCAAATATGTGTTTTGGTCTAAACTCGAGCTGCTTTGTAAATCAACAGCACTGGTAAAATAATTTACTGTAAGTAAAAATGAAATAAAGTGTTAGACAATTGTTAACAGCTGTTAACATTTTTTTTTCTACATTTGGTGATAAATGTTTCTACTATCAAATTTGATTATTTGTCTAAAACCATCAGTTCAGTACCTGCAGTACCTTTATTGACCACCTCAGGGCCACACACTCCCTGTAAAAGACTGAGATTTCAGCCACTTTTTTCAAAGGAATAGGATTCTAAAAATAATATTGACTAATTGTGCCATCCAATGATCTTCGCTCTAAAATCTAAAAAACAAATCACTCCTAATCTTTGGCAGCGTCTGTTATTGTCACCCTCCATCTTGGTCTCAAATCAAATTTCTTTTGTTTGGGTTATTGTTCATCACGTGACTGGACTGCCAATTCACACATCCCAGCCTGGGCTCGTGTGTCAGAGCGCTGCTGTGGCGAGGGATCAATTAGTCAGATCAGGCATCTTCAATCACAACAGCCACAATAGCTGGTGTGTGATGTAACTGGCAGAGAGCGGATTAGAGCCCTGGATGGTGGTGTGCAGGGAAACACCAACACAGCCACAGCTCATTAAACACACCGTGAAGGCAGTTCACGTACTGACAGACAAGGGTCACTGAGTAAGGGGCGGCATGTACACAAGCAATTTATTCCCCACCAATAAAGAACATATGCAGCATGCTGGACGGACACCAGGTGACCTCAGCTGATGCTGTTTTCTACATGTCTACAGACAGATGTGTTTGATTAAAATTAAATTTTACAAATCGAATCACATTTAAGTGTTTTTTTAAACTACATTACCATGGTCTGTCGCTGAGGATCCAAACTTCAAAGAGGACGAACAGTCTGTGTTTGAGTTACAAAAAAAAGACAAAAAAAAGTTTTCTGGCTGTGACCAAACTAATTATGTAACTCTAAGCATACGAAATGTGGCTAGTTTTGTACATTTTATTTATAAATAAATTTATTGAAATGATCACTATTCAATATTTAGCACCAGATATTGGTCAAGTTTTTGATGTGATTAAAAACTCTTACTTAACCGTTTATTGTTCAGGATTTTTTTTTCTTTTTTTTTTGTGACCAATATGAATTTAACGAAGACCAATGTTTGGGTCCAAATCCAGTGTTTGGTAAACACAAACGTTTTTTTAATCTAAAACCTTTTATTACTTCAATGCTCCTGTGTTATAATGAGTTTTGTCATGCCATTAAATAAACATTACATCATTACTATGTTTATTCAGACATTTTTCTCAGCCTCCCCCACAGTTGTTATCCTGAATGTAAAATTACAGGTTTCTATAACTATGTCGATCTGAACAGCAGGGGCCAAATGAATGTACAATTAAACTGAACAAGAACATTATAATGTTGGTCATGTTAAATTACACTTGAAATTACAATTGTTAACCATTTTTGACACGGGTTTTTGTTTCTGCGGTGAATGCTGTTCTTATAGAGGTCTTAAAAAATCTTATTTTAATTGTCAACCTCACAGTTTCCTCCTCTCAAATTTCACTCTTCACTGGTTTTTAATCTATTCAGTGCGATACTGCGACAGCAGGTACCAAACAGCATTGAGATGTGTTGGGGGCGGCCCTTGTTTGGCATCTTCCAGAGGGCTGTGAAGAATAGCATTTATTAAAAGTCACAGCCAGCCCCCATCTGGTGCTGTGAAAAGGGAGTCCTCAGAGGGGTGGGGCCCAGGGGCAGGGAGGACGGGGGGAGCCCTCCCTTGGCACGTGCCTAAGCCGATGCAGCCTGGCCTCGGCCTGTCCTCGGTGACGGATCATAGACGCAGGAGGGCCCCCCCCCACACACACACACACACACCCCTGAGACCCACTCAAAACACGCGCTGATTCTGCACAAGCA